GCTCTTGGTAAAACCTAAAGATGTAAACATATTAAGATTTTCTGACATGCTTAACAACTGTTTTATGCTCAGTTCATTGCCCCAAGAAGAACTTCCAGAAATATGAACAGCAGCTTACAAAAATAAGCAAGGCAGAAAAAACAAACATTTCTTAGTGACTTTGAAAGAAACTGGCTCCATGCTGAGCACATGGTAAAAGCACAGTACAGAGAAGAAATACAGGCCTAGGTGAAGTGATTTAAACTTTCTTCTTTTCATGAAGTGCTTTCTGCTGAAATTGCTTTTCTGCCAATGCATGCAAGCCACTTGCTGGCCCTTATATTAGACAGGAAGGATTTTGGTATTTCAACTTTCATTGACAAATCCACTTCAGGAAATGAAACCCTTATTTGATTTGTTTGGAGAGAATGAATCATAGATTTTTCTTTAACTGAAAGGGACCTTTCAAGCTCATCTAGCTCAATGCCTTTAGCTTATAGATCGGGAAATTGAGTTAACAGATTTGCTCAAGGCCACAGGGTGACTCATAGCAGAAGCCAAAGCAGAACCTCATTCTCAGGACTTTCAATCTGGTGGTCTCTTCATGACATCTGGGTTGCTGTTCTCTAGCTTCAGTCCATGAGTGAGCTTCCCTGATGAGAAATGTCCCTGTCTGACATGATTCAGTGACTTCCAAGAGTCTTCTAGTTTCCACTATCTGTGAATGAACCAGCAGCAACCATGGGGCCAAGCTTTAGGCAAGAAGGCCTTGTGGAGTGCGTCGACCTTAGCTAGGGCATGGGACATTGATCCGGGCTTCAGGAATTGTTCCTAAGATTAGGGAAGAACCATCAGTTTGAATCCCTTGGATTTGAATGCCAAGAAGGAAATATTTAATTATGGATTTGTATGCTATATAATCCACCCCTCAGTCCTTACAAAAATTGACCATAATAAACCTCCTACTGAATGTGTGGTTAAAGAGTAATGGTGTTGCCAATCCTTCTAGAATGTGAGGGATTGTAAGTCCCACAATGGGAGAGAAACAGTGAGTGGACTGTGAGAAGCTGTGTCCTACATGCTGCCTGGATCCCTGAAGTCCAGAGCCTGATCCAGGCACTGACCCAGGGCTAGAGCTGTGGTCACTCTCCAAAGATGCTACGTCCAATGGGAAAGGAGGAGTTGGAGGGGAGGAAACAGCTGCACAGATGGACTAACGCTTTTCCTTTCTTCTCTGAATGGTGATCCTAAAATCATCCTACTTCCCAGAAGATGGACCCTGTAGAACTAAACTGATGACCTATTTTTCGATTTTATCAAGCAGCAGATACATCAGTTAATGCTGCTGTGCTCCAGGGTTGGGTAGCGAGGCTGGAATTAGATTTATAGATTACCTGCCTCCAGCCGTGCGAGGCGTCTGCAACGCTTCGTTTCCCCTCCCGC